GCCACTACACTCCCGGGCCATAGAAGATAGCTGGCCTGGAAGAAGGGCAACCGGGACAGAATCAGGCACCCCGACCAGGACTAGAACCCAGTGTGCCAGTGCCACATAATTAATCTATTAATTTTCTGAATTCCTTTTCTGGCATATCCTTGATCTCTTCTTCATCAGCCTCCATTATTGAAGATTTTTATTGCTCCTTTGGGGAGTTCATAGAGTCTTCCTTATTCTTATTCCATATTTTTCCTTTGTTCTTCAGCATTTCTGGTTGATTTTATTTTAAAATTTATTTCCCTCTGCTATTGGCTGCCATGTGTTTATGCAAGTGAAATCATGCAGACCTGTCTCCTGGAATCCTGTTTATTTCTAGATCCTGGTGGAGATAAGTACCAGGGCTTTGATGCACTAAGCCCTGCCTACTGGGGGCTGGGCTCTTTTCTCACTGGTGTGTACAATGATCTTGGATTTTTGAGATTTAGGACTAGTCCTAGTTGTACAGCTTGCATAATGTGGAAGAAACCACTCTGAAATGTTGTGATCCTTTGGGGCATGTTGTGAGGTGCACCTCACAATTGATGGGTGTGTGTGAGGGATGCAAATGCAGAAGCCCTCTGCTTATGCTCGAAAATGTTAATTATCAATATGGCTTCTCTCCACTGGTTGTAAGTCCAGTTGTGGGTAGAGGGGACACAGACAGACCATGGTGTGCCCAATTTCTCTGCCTGTTCTTCTACAATTTCTCCTTCTTCCTGCTTGGAACTTCAAACATAGTTAACCAAGATTTCCTGCCTGCCTCTATCCACAGCTCTGTGGACTCACAACCTCTCCCCATGGTTCGCTGGTGGTGGGGGCAGCACCTCTTTGCTTATTCCCTCTGCAGCTCCTTTGCTGCACATCCACCACCTCCCCCTCCTCTTTGCTCCCCCAGTGTAGACCTGAGCAGTCTCTGGTGGAGTCCTGGGCCACTCTATGAATTTCTGGCTATTCTGCCACTGGCTTGTATCCTCTCTGCTCACTCACTATCCATTTTTTCCTATGCAACTTGGAACGTCCTGCTGCTATACCACCATCTTCCCAACACCCTGCTTCTTTTTCTAACCCTGTCACTCTGCCTTTCAAATAAATACATGTATGTTTAAAAAGTACAAGATACTATTCAAAATAGCAAAAAAATACATAGAATGAAAATTAAGAAAAATGTGACTCTAATTTTATAATGAACTCTAACAAATAAAATTAAAAGAACAGAAAAAAAAAAACTTTTAAAATCAGTAAAGATTTGAATGGACATTTTGCAAAAAATAAGTTTTTGATAACTATGTAAAATATCCTCAAAATCATTATTTGAAAATAGTGAATAAAACCTCCCTTCAAAATACACACTTCACATGCTGTACCATGGTTCTCTTTCTCCCTCTCTCTCTCTTGCTCCCTCTGCCTCTCCTCTCTGTGTGTAACTCTGACTTTCAAATAAATAAATAAATCTTTTAAAAATATGTCAATATATGTATTTATTCATTTGGGAGACAGAGAAATCCCAAACACTGGCTCACCACCCGATTACTTGCCACAGCCAGGAACTTAACCAGGCTAATTCCAGGAGCTTGGAACTAAGTCCACATCTCCCATGTAGTTGGCAGGGATGTAAGTACCTTTACCATCACCTGTTCTCTCCCAGGATGCACATTAACAGGAACTTGAACTCAGAAGCAGAACTTGGACTCAACCCCAGGTACTCTGGCATTGGATGCGAGTGTCCCAAGAGGCATTGTAATTGCTTCATCAAATCCCTGCCATGAAAAGATGTATTTATTTGCTTTATTTAATAGAGGGAGAGGAAAGAGTGGTGGAAAAGGCAAAAACATGCCATGGATAAATTTTAGAATGATTATGTACAAAAAGAGAGCAGCAGTCTGCAAGCAGTATGAGTGCACATGAATCATACGTCCAAATTTTCCAACCAATAAAAATTGAAGTAAATGGTGGAGTCCAGCTCCATCAAGTCCAGGGGTTCCTGAAGGTGTGGGAGGTGTTGGCACAGGAAGAAATGAGAGACACACTCACAGCAAGGCTGATGGCATGGCTCTGTCTCTGGAGTACCAGGTTGTTTCTTTATATAAGTCCCATAATGATTCTTTCTTCTTACTATACCAAGTTTGTTGTTCATTTTTATCTAGTCACAATCTCTTTGGTTTTCAAGGACATACTCAGAGCATGGGTTACAATCACAGGTGTGAGACGACAATTTTCAAAGGCATGTTCAGAGCATGGGTTACTATCACAGACAGGTGCGAGATAACAGGCTGCCCACACAAACCAAGGCCTGGAGTGCTATCTAGCTATGCAGACATTGGCTACACAAGCTAGAATATTACCTTCCTAATCAAATCTTTACTAGAAGCCCCAATGTTCAGAGCAGGCCCTTTTTTCAATGTATCCCCTCTTTTGCAGTTCTTTCTGTAACTCTTTAATTTCTTTTTTGTACTTATCTAAAGGTTCCCTTAGATCTATTCCACAGTTTTGACATCCTAACCATTGTTGTATTTGTTGCATATATTAAATTAAAGTTTTAATAACATTTATCTTTTTTCTAGTGGGAAGAATATACTAAGGAGCCTGTTACCTTGTAATTCTTTTCCACAAACAGATCAACCTTGCATAAAGCATTAACCCCTTCTCCTACACTAACATTCTGCTTGATTAAAATTCTACAAAGCAATGGACATTTTGGGGGTCATGAGACTAAGAGTTCTTCCCTAAAATTAGAAATATAACAATCATTAATGGGACCACCAGGAAGGTCTGGCTTTCTTATGCAGAGTGTAGATCCCAACAAACCTAAAACCACCAAGAGGACCACAGCTGTTGTTCTCATGCCTTGCTGAGACAGACCTTCTGTTATGTCCTTGTCAGCAAGCCAAAGTTGCCTTGGCCTCCCACTCTGTTAGCATTCCTTTGCATGTGTATACCACATTTTCATTATCCATTCTCCAGTTGATGGGCACCTGATTCTACATCATGGTTACTGTGAATAGTACAATGCTACACATGAGTGCACACATCTCTTCAACATACTTTCAACTCATAGATACACGCCCTGTAGTAGGATAGCTGAGGCATATAGCAGTTCTGTTTCTAGGTTTCTCAGGATTGGCCACATTGTTTTCCAAAACAATGACAGTCATTTCCATTCCTACAAAGAGATCCCCTTTCCCTACACCCTTACCAGCATTTATTACTTTTATCTTTTGATCAAACTGTTCTAACTGGAATAAGATGGTGATTTTGATTTGCAGTTCCCTGATGACTAGTGACATTGTACATTTTTCCATATACTTGTAGGTTGCTGTAAATCCTATTTTGAGAATATCAGTACAGGATTATTTGCCCATTTTATAATCAGATAATTTTTTGTTATTTAGATCCTTGAGTTTCTTCTTCATTATGGATATTCATAAGTATTCATTCTCAAAACAAAGTTCTCTAAGGTGCACTTCTGTGTTTTTCAGTCATTTTAGAAGAGTCATCTTGGGGCCTTCCAGCTCTCTCATTCCCTCTGTTCAGTCAGTTGGGTCTGTGACCTAGACTCTAGATCTTATTACTTTAGGGCCTCTTAGTGGCTCCAGTCTTGAAGAGGTTTTACCTATAGGTTCTGCATTAACATCCCAAGAGGAACTTTCCTAAACCACAAACTTCATTGTATCCTTCCCTAACCCCACAACTTACTGAATCCTTAAAGCACACATAGAGAGATGCCAGCAGCAGAGTGCAGCTTAACGCAGTGCATGTAGAGGGATGCTGGCATCGCAGAGTGCAGCTTAACCCAGTGTACCTCAACACGAGACCCAGGATGAGGGCCTTTCTGCAAGGACTTTGGAGGGGTCCATTCACTTCTTCCACCTTGTGAGGACACTTCAAAAAGGAGCCATCTTTTTCCTAATGTTTGGATGTTGAATTCAGTCATACTGGTATATTTAAAGGGGTACAATGCTCCCTTTCAACTCTTAGACATATGGTAAATAGCAGGCCTCCAGCCTTCCCTTTCATTATCAATTTTTTGACGAAGGGCACCAACATAGAAGCAGAAAGTGAGTCCTTTCAAGTTACTGAGTCTGCTGGTCCTCAATTTTACTCTCCCCAGCCTTGAAAACAGTGTGAAAATTTTCAGATACCCAAGACAAGGTCTTGTTACAATAGCTAAAAAGCACTGAAGTCTCTAGGAATGTCTTGCTTTTCTCCCTACAATTTGAAGCACAGCTTTGCGGGCTACAGATTCCTCAGTTTGTGCTTTTTTTTTTGCCTTCTGCACTGCACCACATCAGCCCTCTGCCTTGTGGTCCTCCAGGGATTCCGATGAGCAATTTGCTCATGAACATAGGGGAAATGATGGAAGATACCTCCCTCTCAGCTCTACAGATATGAACAACGCACCTGAGCTGTCACGGGCAACAGAACATTTTGTGGTAGTGTCATGATGCCAGGAAAGTGGTTCCCATCATGTTGAGACCTATCACTCAGATGTTAAATTGAGAGGAAAGGCTATTTGGGGTGTAGACTTTAGGAGGCAATTGGAACATTCTACATGTGCTAATTTTGCAAAAAATAAATATCAATTTCTATCACTAACCTAAGCAAAGATCTTTTGGGGGTACTTTCTCTTTAATCAAATGGACAGATACTTCTGGAAACTGCCATGGAGTATCACCAACTGTGATTGGTCCATTTCTTGCTCTGACGTTGGAAGGTGCATTGTGATGTCATTCCAACTGCCTGTTTGAATCCCTGGCTGGGCAGAGGACTTTGTCCGTTTTTTCCAGGAAGCAGTTGGATGCTGGCCAGCGAGACTTGGACAAAGCTATAAGTTTTTCCATATTTTGTTGTTTTTGCTGTTTTATTGTTCTGTTCATTTTGTCCTCTCCCTTCCCCACAATCTTTTACTTCTTATCTGTGCATTTTTATTTTATTTAAATATCTCCTCATTTCTCTTTTGATTTTTCTTGTCATTTCTTCTCTTTATTTTCCATTTTCATTTTCTAATTCTTTAATTCTTGTGTATCTCACCTTCTTTTTCTCATCTGTAATCACTTTCTTTACATAGGAGGTTTAGTATTGTAAGTTTAGCTATAAGAGTTGGTGTTTTCTTTCTGTTACAGTTCTCCGTGTTTCTGTTTTGTCACTTTTGATTATTTTGTGTGAATCACTGATTAGTATAGTGTAATTCATTATAGTGTTTGTTCAAAATATTAGCATAGTGAATAGAATTAATCTTAATAATTAGTGTACTTCATATACTGTTGTTTTTGTTATGCCCAGATAAGTAGATCCCCCAATAAACTATCAACAACCTCATCACACTGAAATCCAAAAGCAAGATTTCTATTAGAAAGGTACAAGCCGCGACAGGGACCTCATCCAACCAACCGGTGCAGCAGAGGAAGGAGGAAAGGCCCAGGTCTTTGTTTGGGGACGCTTTTAAAGGGGAGATACATCATCAAGGGCTTAAGGTGCGGGGCCTTTTGTGATTGGGCAGGGTGGGGGGTGTGTGTCTCTGTTTGGCTTGGGTTCAGGAAGTTACCTCAGTTGGTAATCTCTACTGAGCTGGCCTTGGTCTGCTGAGCTAGCTGTCCTTGGTAAACTTGGATATCTCCAGAATGCCTGAATGCCTGCTTTTACAAGGACTTGGGTCTGCTATGGGAAACGGAGGCTGCTTTTGATTGTTTCAAAATAGTCACTTTGGCTCTTCAGTTCTGTCTGTTCTTTTTAGTGCTGTTTATTTTGTTCTTTTTGTTTTTTTGTTTTGTTTTGTTTTCCCTCTTATCTTCCCCACAAATTTTTGCTTTTCATCTGTGTGTATTTTATTTAAAAATCACATTTCTTTTTTGATTTATCTTGTTGTGTTCATAATATCACATAGTGAATTAGAATTGGTCTTATTGATTAGTACAGTGAAGTTCATATGCAGTTTTTTTGTCTATTTGTTCTTAAGAGCTTTATTTTTTTATTTTTATTTTTAGTTTTCTTCCCCTAACTCAATTTTTTTATCTCTGTGTATTTAATTTAAATATCTTTTCTTTTTCTCTTTTTCTTGTTATAATAGTAAGATGAGTACATTGAATAGAATTAGTCTGTAGTATAGTAAATGTAGTGTTACCTGTTACTTGACTTATTCATTTGTTTCTTTCATTTTATTTATTTATTTATTATCATGTTTATTTCATTCATTTGTTTTTGTTTTGTCACTTTTGATTATTTTGTTTGAAATAATGATTAGTATAGTGTAATTCACATATAGTGTTTGTTCAAAATATTAGCATAGTGAATAGAATTAATCTTAATAATTAGTGTACTTCATATTGTTTTGTCTGTTCTTTTTAGTGCTGTTTATTTTGTTGGTTTTTTTTGTTTTTGTTTTTCTTCTTTTCTCCCCCACAAATTTTTGCTTTTTATCTGTGTGTATTTTATTTAAAAATCTCATTTCTTTTTGATTTCTCTTCTCATTTCTTCTATTTATTTTCTTTTTTCATTTTCTAATAGTTTAATTCTTGTGTATCTCACCTTTTTCATTTTTTTCTCATCTGTAATCGCTTTACACAGGAGGATTAGTATTGTAAGTTTGTTATAAGAGTTGGTGTTTTACTTTCTGTTATGGTTTTCCATTTTTTTGTTTTGTTGCTTGATTATTTTGTTTTAATTATGATTAGTAGAGTGTAATTCATATGTACTGTTTGTTCAAAATATTAGCATAGTGAACAGAATTAATCTTAATAATTAGTGTAGTTATATACTGCTGTTTTGTCTGTTCTTTTCAGTGCTGTTTATTTTGTTCTTTTTTTTTCCTCTTTTCTCCCCCTCAAATTTTTGCTTTTTTATCTGTGTGTATTTTATTTAAAAATCTCATTTCTTTTTTGATTTCTCTTGCTGTATTCAAATATCACATAGTGAATTAGAATTGGTCTTATTGATTAGTACAGTGAAGTTCATATGCAGTTTTTTTGTCTATTTGTTCTTTAAGAGATTTTTTTTTATTTTTTATTCTTAGTTTTTTCCCCCAACTCAATTTTTTTTCTTTTTATCTCTGTGTATTTAATTTAAATATCTTTTCTTTTTCTCTTTATCTTGTTATATTAGTAACTTGAGTATAGTGAATAGAATTAGTCTGTAGAATAGTAAATGTAGTGTTACCTGTTAGTAGTATTAACATATTGACTTATTCATTTGTTTCTTTCTCATTGGGTTGCCAGGTCACCGTAGGTGCTGTAGGAGACTAGCTAGTGTTACTCCCAGTACACTAGATACCAAGATATCCCCACAATGAGTGGTGACAGATCCTCCCACACAGAGGAGGAGGTGTTCCGGGGATATGAAGTCCTCAGAACCCTTGGCAAGGGCAGCTTCGGCAAGGTGAAGCTGGCCCGCCATGTGGAGAGTGGGACCATGTTGGCTGTGAAGATCATTGCCAGAGGGCACGGGGATTCCTCCGAGTTCCCACAAGCAAGGGTAGAAGCAGAGATTATGAGTTCTCTGCATCACCCTCACATTGTACAGCTAATGCAGGTAGACTACACGGCAGAGAGAGCCTACCTGTTCATGGAATATATTAGCGTGGGGGACCTTGGAAAGTTAGTGGCAGTGCGCGGCCACCTTGAGGAAGGAGAAGCATGCTACTATTTCAGTCAGACCCTGGAAGCAGAGGAGTACTGCCATAAGCAGCACGTTGTCCACAGAGATATAAAATTAGAAAATCTCCTTGTGGACAGAAACATGTGTATTAAACTAATTGACTTTGGCTTAAGCCAAAAGTTGGCTGAAGGCCAACAACTCAATTCATTGTGTGGCAGCCTCGAATACTGTGCCCCGGAAGAATTCTTAGGGAAGGAATTCGATGGCTACAAGGCTGACATGTGGAGCCTGGGCGTGCTCCTATACACCATGGTGAAAGGGTGGCTGCCCTTTGAAGGGGACAGCTTTGCACACTTGAAGGAAGCCATCCTGGCTGGCTCTTACCTAATCCCCTCCTCTATAAGCGGGGAACTGGAGCAGCTGCTGGACTGGCTGATGACCTATGACCCTGCTGAGAGGCCCACAGTGGCAGATGCTATGGGCCACAAGTGGCTCAGCATGGAGCAGAAAGGGCCCAAACTGAGTGAAGACACAGCCAAACAGACTCAGAGTTCAACCGAGGACGAGGACCTCAGTGAAAGTGTGGAGAGCCTGAGCTCTCAGGAGGGCCTCAGAGAACAGGACGGCCCCCTGTGGGGAAAAGCCCAGCTACAGGCTCACCTCAGAGGAGGAGGAAGCGAAATTTACATGGGGCTCCCAGGTCCTTCGCATGTTACTGAAGGTCCGAAATACCTCTCAGGCCTCCTCTTCCAGCTGGGCCGTGAGGAGGAGGATGGCTGCTTGTCCCCTGCTCTGAGCTGGGGGAAATCCCAGGAGGGCTTCAGTGGAGCAGCGAGACCTGAGCTCACTGAAGTGGAGCTTCTAGCATCTCCCCAGGATGCTGAGGCCCAAAGCTACCTGGTGGAGCTGGGCTTTCAGCTGAGCCATAAAGCAGCCCCCCTGACACCCAGTCTCCAAGCCAGCACCACATCCCCAGTGCTGCCCGAAGGTGACCTGTCATCAGGGCTAAATGCCTGCCATGGAGCCCGCAGGATGGACGGTTCCCCACCTGGCGTGATGATGATCCACACTCCTCGCCCAGTCCTCAGGTATAACAGCTCTGTGTCCTCTGCGTCCACTCTCAACACCAGCAGCAGTGAGGCCTGCAGGTCAGATGGTCCCCACCCTGTCATAAGGAGGAGGACCTACATTCTTGGGCCAGTTCTCAGCCACAACAGCTCCTTGTCCTCCATAGCCACTATCAGCATCACCAGCAGTGAGACTGAGAGGACAGATGGCCCCCAACCTGGGATAAGGAGGAAGACCTATATTCCCTGGCCAGGCCTCAGGTACAACAGCCCCGTGTCCTCCATATCCACTCTCAGCTCCAGCAGCAGTGAGGACCACTTAGCAGACAGGAGCTGTTCCCAGGGAGTGGCAGAGAATGAGAGCCTCCCAGAAAACCAGCAGGACGAGGAGGCAGGGACCTCACCTGCTAAAGCTGCCAAGAGCAAGGACCGCCGGGGGGTCTGCAGGAGGATGGTGAACTGCCTTCTGCGGGTGTGTTGTATCCTGCCAGACCCAGAGGAAGACCTCTGAATTCAGAGGAGAAAGGTGGCCTCATAGCTTCATTCACTGGAAATGCTGAAGAGGAAATTATGATCCCTGCCTGGGAGGAGGGATTGTGGGGAGGCAGTAATAAATAACAGGCAGGGAGTGAAGGCAATGGGTCTCGTAGGAGGAACTAGGATCAGGCGTCAGACCAGACCACACCACCAGGTCCTGTGTCTCATGTGTAAGCAGCTGATCAGGTGAGCACAACCTCACTTCAGTGTCAGGTCAGTGACATTTCTCGGTTGTCACATGGTTCAAGTAGTCAGCAGAACAGCATTTTTATTGGTTAGCATCCATGACCATTTGCTAGGCACCAGAAAAACAGACACCTGACATTGAAACGCTGTAGTGAATGTATCCATTTATAAGGACTTACTATAGAAGCTTCTTTAGAAGAGGCATAACATACTGGGGCACAGTGCCAGCCTCAGGGGCTTTCTCTATCTGGATTCTGAGGACAGCCACACTGTGTGCATTCAGCAGAACTTACAGAACTGTATGCATAAACATCTCCTTGATTCTATAAAAACTAGAAAAAAGGAACAAAGAGACCAGGCCCTGGGACTTCCAAGAGCTGTACAAACCTTGCCTTCACGTCTATGAGGTGTGTGGTACTGCGCAAGTACCTCTCATATTCTGAGCCCTGGTCACCACTAAAAAGTTGGGGAGGAGGCTCTGAAAAGTGCTTGTGACACAGTGAGGTCTGGAGTTTCTGGGATGACAAATCCAGCCATGTGCTTGCTCAGGGAAACCCAGGTACGTGTGGCAGATAAGCCTTCCTTCTAGCATGAATGTACTGGACTCTCAGGTTATACTCAAATAGTCTCCCATCCTGTTTTGGGATGTGTGCAGGGGCCACTGGCTGCTTGGGGGATGACTGGCAGCTGCTGGCCCCAGTGGCCCACTTCGGTATGTGATGTCTGGGGTCACTATCAAGTCCAGCCTAGTATTGGCAGCTATAGTCAAATTGAGTAACTTTGGTCTGCATTGATAGATATTGGAGTGGGGGGATTCTTTTACCTTTTAAATTATGCTAATAATACAAAACACAAATGTTACTATTTTAACCCTTTTTAAGTATACGGTAGTAGCATGAAGAGCATTCACAGGGTTGTGTGCACATCACCACCACTCCTCTCCTCCACATGAAACACTCCCCTCCCCCCTCCCCAGCCTCTGGCACCCCCAGGTCTACTCCTGTCTTAATGAATGGGACAACTCTGACTCAAGTATTATGCAGTATTTGCTCTTTGAGAGCCAGAGAGACGGGCAGAGCTCCCGTCAGCTGGTTCACTCCTTGCAGGCCTGTAATGGCAAGTACTGGACTGGGCTGAAGCCAGGAGCTGGGAACTCAATTCAGGCCTCTCATGTGCATGAAATGAACCCAATCACATGAGCCATCAGCTGCTTCCTCCCTGTCTGCAACAGCAGAAAGTTGGAGTCAGGAGCCAGAGCTGAGAGTGAAACCCAGTAACTCTGACATGGTACACAGGCATCTAAACTGCCTGCCCTTGGTGTTTGTCTTTCTGTGGCTGGCTTGTATTATCCAGTCCTCAGGATTCATGCCTGCAGTAGCAAGTGTCAGAATATCCTTCCTTTGGAAGGCTGAATAATACTCCGTGGTTCAGTTGGACCACATTGTTTTCCCACACTCATTTTCTTTTGATGGCCCCATGGGTTGTTTGCATATAGGGGTAATGTGAATAATGCTACTGTGAACATGGGTACAAATTACTCCTTGAGACCCTGTCTTCAATTCTTTCATTATATATGTGCTTACATATTTGAAAGACACAGTGACTGAAAGAGATCTCTGCCTCACTCCCCAGATGGCCACAACAGTGAAGGCAGGCCAGGATAAAGCCAGGAGCCCTGCACTCCATCTAGGTCTCTCACATAGTTGACAGAGGCCCAAGAACTGGAGCCATAATCTGTTGCCTTCCCATGAGTATTAGCAGGAAGCTGAATTGAAAGCAAATTAGCCAAGACTGGAACCAGCCACTCTAGTATGGGATGTGGACCTCCCAAGTGGCAGTTTAATTGGCTGCACCACAACACCCACCCTGTTTCCAATTCTTGGAGTCATATACCTAGATATATATACACCCAGATGTATACATACCTAGATGGAACTACTTGATAATTCCATGTTTAAAAATTTGGGTGGCAGTTCTCTTTTGTGGTGTAGCAGGTTAAGCCACCACTTGGAACACCCACACTCCATATTAGAGTCAGTTCATGTTCCAGCTGCTCTACTTCCAATCCAGCTCCCCGCTAATGCATCTGGGAAAGACATGAAGGTTGTCTCAAGTACTTAGGCCCCTGCCACCTACATGGGAAACCCAGAAGAAGTTCCTGCCTCTGGCTTGGCCCAGCTTGTTTGTTCTGGTCATTTGGGAGGTAAAGCAGTAGATGGAGGAGTCTCTCTCTGTCTCTATCTCTCTCCTCCCACTCCCTGCCACAGACTTTGCCTTTCAAATCAATAAATCTTTTTTTGGTTATAAGGAAATAGATTTATATTTTTAATTTAAAAAAATATTTATTAATTTGAAAGGCAAATTTACAGAGGCAGAAGCAGAGAGTGAAAGACAGAGAGAGAGAGAGAGAGAGAGAGGTATCTTCCATCTTCTGCTTCACTCCCCAAATGCTCACAGCAGCCATGGCTGGGCCAGGCTGAAGCCCAGAACTTGGAGCTCCATCCTGGTCTCCCAAGGGAGTGGAAAGAACTCAAGTATTTGAGCCATCACCTGATGCCTTCCAGGGCACACATGAGCAGGAAGATGGAATGGGGACCTTAACTTAGTCTAGAGTCCAGGAAAAGCAAGCTCTTCAGCTGGAGACCAGGACAGAGGGAGGTGCTGCCTCTCCTATTCCCTCCCCCAGCTGTTTATGCTGCTGGCCACTCCCCACCTATGCCCATGCATGTGTGTTCTTTCACCTTTTTAATAAACTTCATCATTCTGGACAGTGTATATGTGCCTGATACTTGGAATGTCTCCCTAAGCAGAAGGCACAGACCTGGAATACACATTGAGCCACCCCACTTACTTCACTTCTTATGGGTGAGCCATCCAGGTGTCTGAGAAAGCCCAACAGTGAACCAAAAGAGCAACAGTGGTAAGTGGAA